GTGCCTATTTTATTGTAGTCTTTATGTCGTTTTTTATGTCTTTAGATCTTTTTTCCCAATTTAGAATAAGGTAAAGTCGCTTAAACTCGTACCTACATATTTTCACACTCACCAATATTTTCAAGGTCAATTTTTACTTAAGATTTATATTTTCTTTCTTCCAAATCTTCTAAGGCTAGGATCTCTTGCCAGAATGTCCAAATAGTTATTTATAAACCTAGCTAAACCTCTTGAAAAGTCAACGCATGATATTGGAGTGTAAGGTGTTGCAATAAAGTTGTAAGTCTTTTCACCGAGTTTTTTCACCTGTATTTCAATTCAACGGAGGTTAGTGGACACAACAATCCAAATGTTTGTACGTCCACGCGTATCGGCACGCGATTCCGATACAATCGATCTAATACGAGTACCTGACTACCTGTGACTGATTGATTTATCATTTTTAGGGTCCCGTTGTTAAGATATAAAAGCCAACTTTATTTTAGCAATATAGGGTGTTCTTCTATTCGAACCCTTTTCCGACACCGAATTAATAATTGATTTACTAATACTACAATTTAAAATAATTCCTATATAAAAAATACCTCTTTCTTATGTGCAAACCACGTAATTTGTATATTATTAATTAAATGATTACTTGAAAATATAAATAAATAATTTCAGTGCAAATTCTTGATTGTTTACTTCACAAACAAAGACCCCGAATTTCAGACGAGTTTGTACAGGGCTGACGTGTTAAACAAATATAAAGTAGAGTGAACATTAATCAACGTTATTATACAATTTGCAAATATAATTAACTCCCGTCCTTTTTATAACAGTGGCTGAAACATTATAGAGCTACAAATGTGTGCAGTAGGCTCACTATACCGTTATACCAGTGGTTAGTTACTTACGTATATTCTGAGGTAATAATAAATAAGTTGATTTAAAAAAAAAACAGTTCATTAAGATATGGAAGCTAGAAACATTGAATTTTCGGACAGATCCAGTTTATTCTCTAACCTTTAATATACTGTTTGATAGGGATCGTGAATAGGGAATGCAAAACCGGTTAATCGGAAACCGAAAAATCGGAAAAACCGCCCTTTTTCGACGAATTCTAAAACCGGTTTTAAAAATCGAAACCCGGATTTAAATCGGTTTTTCTATCTGTATACACTTAACAAATTCCATAAATAAGCAATATCATTTTATTATAATATAACCTGGGTATTTTGATATTTGACGAATATTTGGTTATTTTACAATAACTTGGCAACATTGTCACTTGGTTACTCCGCCGTTTACCTTTGAACGGGGAATCCCCGATAATTATTTAAGACTCGTACCGCCCGCGCGCGCCACCTGACATGACCCACCCCGCGATTCAGATAGTTGATGATTATTGCAGTGAATAATTAACCTATGTGTGAGTGAATAGAACAGTTTTTATTTCTGAATTGTTTTGAACATTGAATCTCATTTATTTGCGATATCTGCAGAAGCTTATTACTGTAATACTTGTGTATTAAAATTTGACAGAAATACCCCCTAACGTTCACAAATAAAGCTTTTTACATTTTATTCTACTTTTTAATTTAAGATATTGCTTATATCAATCGTAATAGTAAACAAATACGTTTTTGATGTAGGTACATTACGTACATGGTGGTAATTAACAAAATACTAAACCGACAGAGTAGGTAATGAATTTTAAAAACGTATTCGTTGAATTATTACGTACAATGGAGATAAACTACCATCCCTTGAGTTAAATTTAGCTTATTCATTATGTGCCAATAATGCCTAATGAATAAGCTAAATTTATCAAAACTGTTATAACCCTCTCTTAAATAATGTAATTTAACACAAAACGGACAGGACGTAACAAATCGCTGTATGTAACTTCTAGTTGATTGAAAAAAAAATAGAACGATAATAACCGATTAAAAACCGAAAACCGGTTTTTTTTTCTTGGAAACCGAAAAAAAAATCGGTTTTTGATAAACTTTCGGTTTTGCATACCCTAATCGTGAAGCACTTTCAGGATCATTAACCAATTTTTTATATCTTGTATAGTTTAGTTAAAAATAATCGAGTGAGATCACTTTATCGTTTCCACCCTGTATACATTTTTGACACAAATTGACCCCTTTATTTGGGATGCTGTATTTAACTTGACATGACGATTTTCGTAATTCGTAAGGTGTTGCTCTTACTGAATCTTTTTCTATTTCGTCAGCAAAAGTGTCATGATTCCACCAGTCCCTAATAAGCGCTTGGGGACCGCAATTATTTCGTTTCGACAGGAGAACACAATGACCTAATTATGCCTTACCGCCAAAACTTCCTTAATCAGATGGATTCTTATGTTATAGTTGTTTTTTGTTTTTAATTTTGAACATCCGAAAAGAGAAGGTGCCAGTACTTTATCGGTTAAACTAATCACATTATTAACTAATTTACTTGAGCCGACAATAGCCCAACTGTGAACTGTGTCAAATCGGTGTTCTGCCCCTTTGATGGCAGTATTTACACTGAGCTCTTTGCTTTTTGCATCGCTGCGACACACATCACTCTGACGCAGGGAACTATTTTAAATGCTAATTTTGTTTCATTAAACGTGCTTATTATCTTTGTCTCCTGCTGTTTTGTCTTTTTGCAACTATACATAATGTGTGTTAAAGTGTTTGCAAATAAACGAATCTATCTATTTATCTATCGGTGACAGAGTCCTCCAGAGTACCTAGTTTGAGCCCCGTCGTTCGCTGAAAAATTGTTGTGAACCCTCCTAACACAAGCGTAATATTAACTTTTAGAGCTTACAAGACTACCTATAAGTAATTTGTGCAATATAAATTAATAATATTCTCATAAAAAATAAAACATGAATTTACTTAGAAGTTAACTAGAATAATTTCGCATTCAAAAAACACTGTATGTTTGTATTTGTTTGTAGCGTAGCCATGACGTAGAATGTAGAATGCTAACAGACGTATGCCTAAGACCACATGACAGGTACACAGACACGCGGTTTCCTAGACCCTGGAGTGAGTAGTGGAGGGTTTAGCCGTCAATCAGCCAGCCGGTAGCGCTAGTGCGCGATCAATCTCGCCTGAATCCCGAGCGAAGAGAACAGCCAACTCAGTCGGAACAAACTGTAGTAACACAGCAGCATGAAAACTTTGTTTACTATAAAGTAAGAAATGTAGCGGTATTCTGTATGTATCCATGCCCATTTAGGTGCCCATTTGATGCCTCATTGATAGCTCTTCTGTAATTTTCATTATAGGTACAGAGCAAAATTTAAAAGTTTAATTTGTACATATCGGCCGTTTGGTGTAGTGGTTCGAAGCGGACTACTATTCCGGAGGCTGCGGGTTCGATTCCCGCACAGTACAAACATTTGTGTGCATGAACATATTTGTTTGTATTGGACTGGGCGTGTTTCTATGTATAATATCTATGTATTTACAAAAAAAAAGTATTTAAGTATGTTTATATCCGTTGTCTAGTACCCATAGTACAAGCTTTGCTTAGTTTGGGACTAGAAGCGCAGTGTAAAATGTCCAAGGATATTTCTATCTATCTATCTATGTCAGCCTTTGGGTTCGCCTTCGAACATAGGCCTCCTCTTCAACCCTCCACCGTTTTCTGTCCCTGGCCACACGCATCCAGTTCACTCCAGCCTGCTGCCGGANAGAAAAATGTTTCAAATAATTGTAATCCACGCTAATTTACGCTTTTAAATAATATATTAGAAACACCCTGTGATTAAATTTAACAAAATTACATACTAAACATGCATTGTCAAAAGTTACTTGAAAACAATGAAAAAATACTTTTCAAAATAAAACACACGTGTTCGTTGTCACAGCAAAAACCACATGGCCGATATTAATTGAATTTAGTTGTGTATCGCTGAGTGTTGCAATTACAGACATTCAATAAATACTTTACGAAATATGAGGGTGGTACAATTTACCCGGCGGTACAATATACCGAACTCTCCCCTAAATAGTACTTACAAATCGTCAAGTATTTTGCTCTTAAGGAGCCTTTACATGTCTCATAATCTTTTTACCCTACCAGCGCTTCGAGACAAACATTTGGCAAGTGCTGATCCTGCGCCGTCCGCATTCTAGCAAGCACTCCCCGCGACCTAAACCAAATCTTCGGTCCACCTAGTGGGGGGCCTGCCCACACTATTTCTTTCGGCCCGTGGTCGCAATGGAAGAACTTTTCTGCCCCACCGGCCATCGGCTCTGCGAGCTAATATGCACCGCCCACTGCCACTTGATTTTAGCAATTCTGCGGGCTATGTCAGTTACTTTGGTTCTCCTGCGATCTTCTCATTTCTGATTTGATTGACCTCACCTTCAGCAGTGTTAATGCTGCTCCGAGAAATCCCTCGCTTGCACAAAATAGTAGCGAAAGCGAATTCAAGCGGCGAATATTCCTGAACGACAACATCCTATCCCTGAAGGCGTTTTTGGACGCGTAGCGTAGAGCACTGTAGGCTTTTTAGGATCAGAAACTTGATTTCCGTAGCTCCCTGAGCTGTAGTATACATAGTAGTATCGTACTTTGAAGTATACAGGGTGTTAGGTAAATGGGTATATGAGCCGACACTAGCCCATGTTAACATGGCCATATAAATGGTATGGTGAAGTCACAAATCGAATTTTATAAATTTTATTTTGTATGAAAATTACAAAAATTAAAATGATGATATCAAATTTCTGACTTCACCATACCATTTATATGACCATAGCGGCCGCCCGCGACTTCGTACGCGTGGATCCTGTTTTACCCCCTTTTCCCGAATTTTCTTTGCTATAAACCTCACGGAGCCCGAGACCTTTCCAACGAATGCAAAACCGTGGAAATCGGTTCGTGCGCTCTGGAGTTATAGCGTCAGGGAGGAAAACCCGACTTATTTTTATATAGTAGATGTTAACATGGGCTAGTGTCGGCTCGTATACCCATTTACCTAACACCCTGTACATGTGTCGTACCTTGAAGTCCTGCTCGAGGCGGTGCGCGGCGGCGGCGCTGGCGCGGGAGCAGGCCCAGGCCGCCTGCTCGCGCACCACGCGGCAGTGTACTACATGTGTCGTACCTTGAAGTCCTGCTCGAGGCGGTGCGCGGCGGCGGCGCTGGCGCGGGAGCAGGCCCAGGCCGCCTGCTCGCGCACCACGCGGCAGTGTACTACATGTGTCGTACCTTGAAGTCCTGCTCGAGGCGGTGCGCGGCGGCGGCGCTGGCGCGGGAGCAGGCCCAGGCCGCCTGCTCGCGCACCACGCGGCAGTGTACTACATGTGTCGTACCTTGAAGTCCTGCTCGAGGCGGTGCGCGGCGGCGGCGCTGGCGCGGGAGCAGGCCCAGGCCGCCTGCTCGCGCACCACGCGGCAGTGTACTACATGTGTCGTACCTTGAAGTCCTGCTCGAGGCGGTGCGCGGCGGCGGCGCTGGCGCGGGAGCAGGCCCAGGCCGCCTGCTCGCGCACCACGCGGCAGTGTACTACATGTGTCGTACCTTGAAGTCCTGCTCGAGGCGGTGCGCGGCGGCGGCGCTGGCGCGGGAGCAGGCCCAGGCCGCCTGCTCGCGCACCACGCGGCAGTGTACTACATGTGTCGTACCTTGAAGTCCTGCTCGAGGCGGTGCGCGGCGGCGGCGCTGGCGCGGGAGCAGGCCCAGGCCGCCTGCTCGCGCACCACGCGGCAGTGTACTACATGTGTCGTACCTTGAAGTCCTGCTCGAGGCGGTGCGCGGCGGCGGCGCTGGCGCGGGAGCAGGCCCAGGCCGCCTGCTCGCGCACCACGCGGCAGTGTACTACATGTGTCGTACCTTGAAGTCCTGCTCGAGGCGGTGCGCGGCGGCGGCGCTGGCGCGGGAGCAGGCCCAGGCCGCCTGCTCGCGCACCACGCGGCAGTGTACTACATGTGTCGTACCTTGAAGTCCTGCTCGAGGCGGTGCGCGGCGGCGGCGCTGGCGCGGGAGCAGGCCCAGGCCGCCTGCTCGCGCACCACGCGGCAGTGTACTACATGTGTCGTACCTTGAAGTCCTGCTCGAGGCGGTGCGCGGCGGCGGCGCTGGCGCGGGAGCAGGCCCAGGCCGCCTGCTCGCGCACCACGCGGCAGTGTACTACATGTGTCGTACCTTGAAGTCCTGCTCGAGGCGGTGCGCGGCGGCGGCGCTGGCGCGGGAGCAGGCCCAGGCCGCCTGCTCGCGCACCACGCGGCAGTGTACTACATGTGTCGTACCTTGAAGTCCTGCTCGAGGCGGTGCGCGGCGGCGGCGCTGGCGCGGGAGCAGGCCCAGGCCGCCTGCTCGCGCACCACGCGGCAGTGTACTACATGTGTCGTACCTTGAAGTCCTGCTCGAGGCGGTGCGCGGCGGCGGCGCTGGCGCGGGAGCAGGCCCAGGCCGCCTGCTCGCGCACCACGCGGCAGTGTACTACATGTGTCGTACCTTGAAGTCCTGCTCGAGGCGGTGCGCGGCGGCGGCGCTGGCGCGGGAGCAGGCCCAGGCCGCCTGCTCGCGCACCACGCGGCAGTGTACTACATGTGTCGTACCTTGAAGTCCTGCTCGAGGCGGTGCGCGGCGGCGGCGCTGGCGCGGGAGCAGGCCCAGGCCGCCTGCTCGCGCACCACGCGGCAGTGTACTACATGTGTCGTACCTTGAAGTCCTGCTCGAGGCGGTGCGCGGCGGCGGCGCTGGCGCGGGAGCAGGCCCAGGCCGCCTGCTCGCGCACCACGCGGCAGTGTACTACATGTGTCGTACCTTGAAGTCCTGCTCGAGGCGGTGCGCGGCGGCGGCGCTGGCGCGGGAGCAGGCCCAGGCCGCCTGCTCGCGCACCACGCGGCAGTGTACTACATGTGTCGTACCTTGAAGTCCTGCTCGAGGCGGTGCGCGGCGGCGGCGCTGGCGCGGGAGCAGGCCCAGGCCGCCTGCTCGCGCACCACGCGGAAGTCCACACGGTTCAGGTCCGCCAGCATCTGCCAACAAACGAACAATATTAACAAAGGAACATTCAGTGAGTTCTTAATAGCATGCAATTTTAACTAGACCGAAGGCCTAAAAACAATTCTATTATAGCAAATCCGTATGACACTAAAAACAGCCTTATTGACTGTCAATCGTCGTTTTTTAAGTTCTTTATGTAAGTAATTAATGCAGTCTACACAATTAATCCATCAACCCGCCGACGAGTCTTCGGCTTCGACATATTATCGAAACTCATAAAAAGTACAAATCGATGACATGATTCTTTTGAAATAAAGTCGCCTTATTAATCATGATTCTTTGAAATAAAGTCGCCTACTTACTGTAGGTACATATTCACAAATATCACTATGAAGTCTCACAGTGCATGTGGACGCACAGGGTCCTAAAACCTATTCATAGAAAATGGACGTGGAAGAAGCTATTCGCCTATTGCGATGGAAGCGTGCGCTCATCTGAACAGTCAACAGACGTTACATAGCTGTCAACGCTCGCTGACGCACGTTAACGCGCGCTCGGTTGTATGTAAATACTAATAGAATAGAATAGTTTTTATTTGAAAGAAAGACATATAAGCAGGAAATACATAGATACATAATGAAAGAGATACACAAATGGACAGATAGCTACTTGTGCCCCTCTGACAAAAAGGCACCCGCTCAGCATACATCAAGACCGCGCCAGGACTTGTCTCGAAACTGATTTTCAGCGGGGCACTACGATGTCTAGACAAAATTTTGCCTAAACATAGCCTAAGCCGTACCTGTTGTATCTGGTTGTGGTTGGTGAGCACGGCGCGCGCGGCCTGCGCCAGATGGTTGAGCGACGTGTAGCGGCGTAGCGCCGCTTCGAGGCCCTTGGCGAAGTTGCGGATGGCCCGCACATTTGCGATCACCGTACCTGCTGTATCTGGTTGTGGTTGGTGAGCACGGCGCGCGCGGCCTGAGCCAGATGGTTGAGCGACGTGTAGCGGCGCAGCGCGTCTGACCCGCCGGCCGCTAGCGCCGCTTCGAGGCCCTTGGCGAAGTTGCGGATGGCCTGCACATTTGCGATCACCGTACCTGCTGTATCTGGTTGTGGTTGGTGAGCACGGCGCGCGCGGCCTGAGCCAGATGGTTGAGCGACGTGTAGCGGCGCAGCGCGTCTGACCCGCCGGCCGCTAGCGCCGCTTCGAGGCCCTTGGCGAAGTTGCGGATGGCCTGCACATTTGCGATCACCGTACCTGCTGTATCTGGTTGTGGTTGGTGAGCACGGCGCGCGCGGCCTGAGCCAGATGGTTGAGCGACGTGTAGCGGCGCAGCGCGTCTGACCCGCCGGCCGCTAGCGCCGCTTCGAGGCCCTTGGCGAAGTTGCGGATGGCCTGCACATTTGCGATCACCGTACCTGCTGTATCTGGTTGTGGTTGGTGAGCACGGCGCGCGCGGCCTGAGCCAGATGGTTGAGCGACGTGTAGCGGCGCAGCGCGTCTGACCCGCCGGCCGCTAGCGCCGCTTCGAGGCCCTTGGCGAAGTTGCGGATGGCCTGCACACTTGCGATCACCGTACCTGCTGTATCTGGTTGTGGTTGGTGAGCACGGCGCGCGCGGCCTGCGCCAGATGGTTGAGCGACGTGTAGCGGGCTAGCGCCGCTTCGAGGCCCTTGGCGAAGTTGCGGATGGCCTGCACATTTGCGATCACCGTACCTGCTGTATCTGGTTGTGGTTAGTGAGCACGGCGCGCGCGGCCTGAGCCAGATGGTTGAGCGACGTGTACCGGCGCAGCGCGGCGGCCAGCGCGGCGGCGGCGGCGGCGTGCGCTCGGCCCGCCGGCGCCGGCGCGTCTGACCCGCCGGCTGCCAGCGCCGCTTCCAGGCCTTTGGCGAAGTTGCGGATGGCCTGTGTGCAATACGATGGTTAATAAAGTCAAAGTCAAAGTCAAAATTTCTTTATTTGTTTAGACTAATAAATAGTTCTTACAAATCGTCATTTTGCTCTTAAGGAGCCTCTACATGTCTCATAATCTTTTTACCCTACCAGCGCTTCGAGACCAACATTTGGCAAGTGCTGAGAAGAAGCGCCGCAACAAACTCAGTCACCACTGTCTGCCGGTTAATATAAATAAATAGTAATAGCAGTAGTAGGTAAATTCGATTCAGGAGCAGTTCACTGAATTTACCATGCATTCTTGTATAGTGTATGATGGGTATACAAAATTGCGTGGTATATTAAACAAGGTAGTGACGTGCTAATATCTAAACTTACAGATAACATACTTAAATACTAGTAGAAATGACTCGCATACATAAATTGGAATAACTTGGATTGACCAGTCCCCGAAATCAGCGCCTGTTCACAGACATGACGAGTGAACCAGCCATCGCTTCACTCGACCATATTAGAGGGAATGTAACGACCCGCCTCACTACAATATAATACAAGAGTACTGAAAAACAAAGTGTTACGTATTAGAGTAGGTGCACACCGTTGATTTTTAGTTGGCCGATAGTTGTGCCCGATTTTAATTTGTATGAAGAATCGGCCAAATCGAATCGGCGTAGTGTGCGCACTCCCATACATGCCCATACTGATCAACTGCCCGACTAAACTATTGGCCGATGAAAAATCAACGGTGTGCGCCTACTCTTAAGGCAGTGCTACGACATAGGCTACGACTTAAGCCACTGCTACGACGTAGCACATAGCAGCTACGGACTTAAAACGTAGCGATATCACCCGTAGTACTTGAAACCACACTGTTCTGTTATTAGCTTATCCATTTAGTTAAAATTTTGCCAGGCAAAAACTCCCGGCAATACACTTACTTCGATAGCTACGACTTCGGCCACTGCTACGTCGTAACAAATACCTGGACAGTCACTGCTACGAACCTTTTTAGCACGAGTTGTTATTGTAAATAGTCACATCGTAGCTCAGCCTAGCAAAAATAAGGTTACATATTATTCTCTGCTACGAAATATACCTGAGTCAGTTGGGCGCAGTACATCAGGCAGCAAGAACTCTACGCACTGTAGCTTCAGATTTAGATTTTTGATTTTGGTTTTTGATTTTGATTTTGCAGCCAGGCTGCTACATCTCGGCGTGTCATAAGCTACGTCATAGTTACTATAGTACCTGAGTAAGCTGCGGCGGGATAGGGCGCAGTACATCAGGCAGCAGGAACTCCACGCACTGTTGATACAGCTTCAGATCGGCCGAGCGCAGCGAAGCGGCTACGTCACGGCGTGTCATGGGATACGTCGTAGTTCAGTGTAGTGCAATTTCACTGCTACGAATAATACCTGAGTAAGCTGCGGTGGGATAGGGCGCAGTACGTCAGGCAGCAGGAACTCCACGCACTGTTGATACAGCTTCAAATCAGCCGAGTGCAGCCAGGCGGCTACGTCACGGCGTGTCATGAGATACATTTGATACGTCGTAGTTCAGTGTAGTGCAATTTCACTGCCATGAATCATTATACCTGAGTAAGCTGCGGTGGGATAGGGCGCAGCACATCAGGCAGCAAGAACTCCACGCACTGTTGATACAGCTTCAGATCGGCCGAGTGCAGCCAAGCGGCTACGTCACGGCGTGTCATGAGCTACGTCATATTTCAGTGTAGAAACAATATGGCTTGTTTCTCCACTGCTACGAATCATACCTGAGTAAGCTGTGGCGGAATAGGGCGCAGCACGTCAGGCAGTAAGAACTCCACGCATTGTTGATACAGCTTCAGATCAGCCGAGCGCAGCGAAGCGGCTGCGTCACGGCGTGTAATGAGCTACGTCATATTTCAGTGCAGCGCAATAAGGGATGTTTCTCCTCTGCTACGAATCATACCTGAGTAAGCTGCGGCGGGATAGGGCGCAGTACACTAGACTCCACGCACTGTTGGTACAGCTTCAGATCAGCTAGTGCAGCCAGGCTGCTACGTCACGGCGTGTCATGAGCTACGTCGTAGTTCAGTGTAGTGCAATTTCACTGCCATGAATCATTATACATTATAGGAGATCCGTAAACGAACTAAAGTCGCTGACATAGCCCGACGGATCAGCAAGCTGTAGTGGCAGTGGGCTGGGCACATAGTACGCAGAACTGACGGCCGATGGGGCAGCAAGGTTCTGGAATGGAGGCCACGTACCGGAAAACGCAGCGTGGGACGTCCACCCACAAGGTGGACCGATGACCTGATAAAGGTAGCGGGAAGGCGCTGGATGCAGGCCGCTACCAACCGTGCGATGTGGAAGTCATTGGGGGAGGCCTATGTTCAGCAGTGGACGTCCTGTGGCTGAAATGATGATGATGATGATGAATCATTATACCTGAGTAAGTTGCGGCGGGATAGGGCGCAGTACATCAGGCAGCAGGAACTCCACGCATTGTTGATACAGCTTCAGATCTGCCAAGTGCAACCAAGCGGCTACGTCACGGCATGTCATGAGCTACGCCATACTTCATGTAGCGCAATAAGGGTTTTTTCTCCACTGCTACGAATCATACCTGAGTAAGTTTTTTTTTTTAGCCCCTCGTACTAAGCTAAATATGCTTGTGTCACGAGTGAGCTCACCACAATAGTCGAGCGGCGGCGGGGACCGAACCCGCGTTCCCCGGATCACGAGTCGGCCAGTCCGACCCCTTCACCGTTCGGCTATCGTGGCTTCAAAGTTGCGGCGGGATAGGGCGCAGTACATCAGGCAGCAAGAACTCCACGCACTGTTGATACAGCTTCAGATCAGCCGAGTGCAGCCAAGCGGCTACGCAGCTACGTCACGACATGTCATGAGCTACGTCGTAGTTCGGTGTAGGGCAATACTGTCTCTTCACTCCTACAAAAAAACTACGAATCATCATACCTGAGTAAGCTGCGGCGGGATAGGGCGCAGCACGTCAGGCAGTAAGAACTCCACGCATTGTTGATACAGCTTCAGATCAGCCGAGCGCAGCGAAGCGGCTACGTCACGGCGTGCCATGAGCTACGTCATATTTCAGTGTAGCGCAATAAGGGATGTTTCTCCTCTGCTACGAATCATACCTGAGTAAGTTGCGGCGGGATAGGGCGCTAGACTCCACGCACTGTTGATACAGCTTCAGATCAGCTAGTGCAGCCAGGCGGCTACGTCACGGCGTGTCATGTTACGTCATAGTTACTATAATACCTAAGTAAGCTGCGGCGGGATAGGGCGCAGTACATCAGGCAGCAAGAACTCCACGCCTTGTTGAAACAGCTTCAGGTCAGCCGAGTGCAGCCAGGCGGCTACGTCACGGCGTGTCATGTTACGTCATAGTTACTATAATACCTAAGTAAGCTGCGGCGGGATAGGGCGCAGTACATCAGGCAGCAAGAACTCCACGCCTTGTTGAAACAGCTTCAGGTCAGCCGAGTGCAGCCAGGCGGCTACGTCACGGCGCGTCATGAGCTACGTCATAGTCACTATAATACCTGAGTAAGCTGCGGCGGGATAGGGCGCAGCACATCAGGCAGCAGGAACTCTACGCACTGCTGATACAGCTTCAGATCGGCCGAGTGCAACCAAGCTGCCACGTCATGAGCTACGTCATAGTTCAGTTAACGCAATACGAATGTTTTCTCTACTGCTACGAATCATACCTAAGTAAGCTGCGGCGGGATAGGGCGCAGTACATCAGGCAGCAAGAACTCCACGCATTGTTGATACAGCTTCAGATCAGCCGAGTGCAGCCAGGCTGCTACGTCACGGCGTGTCATGAGCTACGCCATAGTTCAGTGTAGCGCAATAAGGGTTTTTTCTCCACTGCTACGAATCATACCTGAGTAAGCTGCGGCGGGATAGGGCGCAGTACATCAGGCAACAAGAACTTCACGCACTGTTAATACAGCTTCAGACCGGCCGAGTGCAGCCAGGCTGCTACGTCACGACGCGCCATGAGCTACGTCATAGGTACTATAATACCTGAGTAAGCTGTGGCGGGATAGGGCGCAGTACATCAGGCAGCAAGAACTCCACGCACTGTTGATACAGCTTCAGAGCGCAGCGAAGCGGCTACGTCACGGCGCGTCATGAGCTACGTCATATTTCAGTGTAGAAACAATACGGCGTTTTTCTCCACTGCTACGATTCATACCTGAGTAAGTTGCGGCGGGATAGGGCGCAGTACATCAGGCAGCAGGAACTCCACGCACTGTTAATACAGCTTCAGATCGGCCGAGTGCAGCCAGGCTGCTACGTCACGACGCGCCATGAGCTACGTCATAGGTACTATAATACCTGAGTAAGCTGCGGCGGGATAGGGCGCAGTACATCAGGCAGCAAGAACTCGACGCATTGTTGATACAGCTTTAGATCAGCCGAGTGTAACCAGGCTGCTACGTCACGGCGTGTCATGAGCTTGCGCGGAGACGGCACAGGCAGGCGGCGCCAAAAGGCACGGCGGGAACGTTCGACAGCGTTGATGTCGAGGGCCGCCACGGCTTCGAGGAACTCCACACCGTGCGACCTGGGAATAAGGACAGTTTTAAAACTACTTTTAAGAGGAAGACGTGGTCTTACTATGGATTTATAAGGTCACCTACAGGACGATGTAAAGCAGGGCTTACATCTACTCATCATACTCATCTAGCCGTGTAGCGTGTAATGTATCAGATAATGTGTCAAGTGAGTACATAGGCACGAGCCCGCTGCGAGCTGCTCGCGCGTGGTTCGCAGGGAGATTGTAGCGACTCGCCGAGTGGCGGTATCACTGCGAGCACAAAGGCAGCTCGCCATTAGGATTCAGGAGCTCGTAGCCAGATACGCGATGACCGTGGACGAGCCGTACTCACTTGAAGGTTGGTTACGTTACATGCTACGTTACGTGCTACATGGCAGGTGAGTACCCTGCCTAATGTGCTATGCTTGGAGCAGCTTAGGAAACGTGATCGAATCAGAAATAAGATCCGTAGGAGTAGCAAAGTCACCGGCATAATCCGCAAAATTGCCACTTACTTAAGTGGGCCCGCCCGCGGGGCACAAAACGATGACCGTTGGTGCAGAAAAGTTCTCGAATGGCGACAACCACATACCAGAAAATATAATG